GGAAGACAGAGATATGTAAGAGGGACCTATTAACTAGTTAGTTCACTTTTATTAGTCTGTGTGATATTCCTGTTCTCTAAATCCATACTAATGGTTGATATATTAATTGTCTTACAACCAGTCATTTTGGTTTACTAAGGAATTTCTTCTTAATTTACGTGTACCTTCTTTGTATTTAAAGGGAAGTTTTTAAGTATTTATTTTCACACATTTGTCATTGTCTCTGCAGATTAATGGGTTTCATTTTGGTAGATTCGTACATGTACATGTTCACCCTATCCGTCATCCTCCTTGCCTCTCCCTCCTCCCCAGTTTCACACATAGGGAGGGTGAATGTGTATATTTTGCTCATACCCATTTCCTCTGTCTCCAGCACTTATACTACCTCTCCCCATCACTTGTTTCCTTTTTCTTGTCCAGGCTGGCCTTGAACTCACTGTGCAGCACAGGCTCATCTCAAACTTCTGAAGCCTCCTGAGGCTTACACCTCAGGTTAGCTACCTGCATTTGTACACTAATGTTGCAACATGTTTTTCAGGTTTTCAATTCAAAAACAGCCGAACTACTTAGTCATCATCAAGTGGAAATAAAACAGGAGTTCCCAAGAGAAGGGTACGTTTTCTAATTTAATACATAAAGACACATGCTCTTTAATGCTACATCTTACCCTACCTACCCTGTGAATTTGTAAGGTAAACTTCGTCAGATTCCTTCTTGAGAAGACTTGGGATTGATATTAGTGAAGAGAAGAAACAATAACTTGTTAGTTCAGCGAAAATGTGTGGGTTATTAATGGCATAAGAATTCATTGACAGAAAAGGAAGGGAGATAAAGTAATAAGGCAAACAAGTTTTATTTTTTTATTTTTGTCTTTTTGAGACAGGGTTTCACTATGCACTTCAGGCTGGCCTTGAACTCATTTTCTAGCCAAACTCACAGCAATCCTACTGCCTCAGCCTCCCGAGTGCTGCAAACAAGTTTTAATATCAGAAATGCTACATTTAATTGTGTGTCCGCAGTATTGCCAAATACTGCTTCACTAATTTGAGTACTTTGAGTACTGTACAGTATAAGCTTTTTTTAAGCTAAGGACATCTGGTTTTTTTTTTTTAAAGCATTCACATACCACTAATATTAAACCATGCTTTTTGGGAATAGTGTTACTATGTGGAAATTGTAATTAAATATATATATTTTTTTGGAACAGGTAATTGAACTCAGGACCTTGCACTTGCCAGGCAGGCCCTGTGCCGCTGAGCTATATCCCAGGCCCTTAAATATAATGTTGAGTATACTATTTAAAAGTTAAGGGTGTTTATGATACAAGCTCTTTGAAAGCTGTGTGACAGTTTCTTATGAAATTAACCATACATCTGCAGCATTGCACCATTTCACTCTTAGGAATTCTTTTGTTTTCTTTCCTTTCTTTTTTTTTCTTTTGTCTTTTTGAGACAGGGTGTCACTATGCAGTTCAGGCTGGCCTTGCGCTCACTTAGGTAGCCCAGGCTGGCCTCTCTCAATGATCCTCCTGCCTTAGCCTACCAAGTGCTGGGATTACAGGTGTGCGCCACCACACTCAGCCCTCTTTACTTTTTTTTTTCTACTTTTTTTTTAAACCAGATATAGGCATTTAATTGTCCGAACCATATTAGCACAAACCTTTCTTTTTAATGAACTAAGAGAAATGAGTAGTATAACTAACTACCTTCACTATTATATATAGTTTTTGCTGCTGCTTTTTTCCTTTCCCCCATCCCAATTTCTTTCGTTTTTAACAGTTTCTTCCCATGGAATTCTTTTTTTTTCTCCATGGACTTCTTAAATGAAAGGATGTATCCATAGAGAGATTTATACATAAATATTTATAGCCACAAATGTCTGTCATCAGTAGGATGGATAACAGTGGAAGATTATTCAGCATTTAAAAAAAAAGCTGATACTTGCAGCATGGATGAACCATATTGATATTATAGATGGTAAAAAGAAGTACAAACAAGTGCATACTGTGTAGCTCCATTTAGCTGAAATTAAAAAATAGGTTAAACTAATCTAAGATGATAGAAATAAAAAGTGAATTATATGATTGACTTGAAAAGAACATAAAAGAACTTTCTGGGGTATAAGAAATATTTTTGCCTTGGCTGAGGTATTGGTTAGATGAATATCTACATTTTTTTGTTCTTCTTTATTTTTTTTTTACTGTCTGCATTTGTTAAAACTTAGCAAATTATAGACTTCATTTTATTTTATGTTTTTGGTTTTTTTGAGACAGGGAGTGGTGGCGCATGCCTGTAATCCCAGCACTTGGGAGGCTGAAGCAGGAGGATCGTTGCAAGTTTGAGACCAGTCTGGGCTACAACGTGAGCTCAAGGCCAGCCTTAACTGTATATCGAGACCGTGTCTCAAAGAGACAAAAAAAAAAAAAAAAAAAAGTTATGTTGCTTCATAAAAACTTATGAATCTATTAGCAACATTAAAATGACTGTCCACAGGCCCAACCCTGGCTGTTTGGAGGGAGGATATCTAGGTCTTAGAGGGATTAAAATTAGAAATGCATAGAAGAGGGGGGTTGGAGGAAGGAGGTAGTCCTGGGGATTGTACCCAGGGTTAGATGTGTGCTAGACAAGTGCTGTACCACTGAGCTACCTGCCCACCCCTTTTTAAATTTTTTGGTCTTTTTTTGAGACAGGGTTTCACTAAGTAGTTCAGGCTTGCCTCGAACTCACTTTGTAGCCCAGGCTGGTCTCGAACTCCCAAGTCCTGGGATTATAGGTGTGTGCCTCCTGGCCTGTTTCAAAATTTTGAGACAGGATCTTGATAAGTTACCCTAGCTTTTGAGGCTTGAATGTTCAGCTTCAAGAGTAGCTTGGGCTATAGGTATGCACCCCCATACCAGGTTGAGATTAGGATTTTGAGAAGAGAAAATGTATAGACAGAACTCAAAGTGTGCGAAAGGGAAGCATTTAGCCAGTGATGAAGAAGGCAGAGAATAAAGCCATTGCTACTGCCAGACTCTGGAATAGAATTCTTTCAGTTAGTATTATTTCTACTTTGAGACTTCCTCAGATAGTTTCTGTAAGTCCTCTTTTGCCTGTCATTTCTTATTAGCTGTACCACTGCTTATGTCATTTCTTATTTCTTCTGAAGTGCTGGTACTTACCAACATTACACAGGGCCTGGGTCTGAAAACTTGGATCAATCATTTGTCCACATGAAATAGTTATTAGCAATTTAAACTTTGCCCCTAAATTCCAACAAATCATTTTGGGGAAAAAGTGGCAACAGAGATTAGTATATTTATTTGGCTTTTCAAAATTTCTTTTGCTTCCCAAATACGATTTGTAAGAATAATGTTTCCATCAACTCAGAACTTGCTAGTGAAACAAATGTATTTCGATTAATTAACTAATTAATTTATTCTTGGTCCCTGTTTTTTTGAGACAGGGTCTCACTGTGCAGTTCAGGCTGGCCTTGTGCTCACTTTGTGGCCCAGGCTGATCTCAAACTCACAGCGATCCTCCTGCCTCAGCCTCCCGAGGGGTGGGATTACAGGCGTGTGCCACCACGCCCAGCCTATCAATTTAGAAATTAGTACTGAAATAAGCATCAAAATTAACCAATCCAACAAAATTTAAAGAATTGATGTGCTGATCTCTTTTCTTAGACGTGAAAAAATGAAAGTAGACTTAAAAAATAATTTAAAATTAGGTTTGTGGCCTGCTGTTTATGGCCTGTTGTTAGTGACATTTTTTTCTTTTTTCTTTGTCTTTTTTTTTTGAGACAGGGTCTCGCTATGCAGTTCAGGCTGTTCTTGAGCTCACTTTGTAGCCCAGGCTGGTCTCAAACTCTCGATGATCCTCCTGCCTCAGCTTCCCGAGTGCTGGGATTACAGGCATGCACCACGATGCCTGGCTTTGACTTTCTTTAAAAATAATTGATTATTACATATAAAAAATAAGGGGAAGCTTTTATTGAAACCTTTTCTTTAGAATGTGAGGTATAGATATGCTTTATTTATTAAATTTTCTTTATGCACCAGCGACACACTCAGCAGGTAACATTTTTATAGAAATAAATTCCATTCGTATTGCTGTCTTGTAGACTAACCAGACACATTGTTTTGTTAAAGATGGGTGGAACAAGACCCCAGGGAGATTCTGCAGTCTGTCTATGAGTGCATCGAGAAGACATGTGAGAAACTTGGACAGCTCAATATTGACATTTCCAACATAAAAGGTATTTCAATAGAATATTTTATTTATATGCTGTGACTCTCAACCAAATTCATTAACTGATTATTTCAGCTTGTAATGAATGCTTATGCAGTGCCAGCCATTTCTGTGTGAGTTGAAGGATACATTAGACAGGAAGATCAGGTTCCTGTTTTCTTTTTTTTTTGTTTTTCTTTTTTTTTTTAGTACTGGGAATCAAACTCAGGACCTTGCGCTTGCCATGCAGGTGCTTGTGCCACTGAGCTATATCCCCCGTTAGGTTCCTGTTTTCATGAAGCTTTTGCTTTGGTGCGGGTGAAGGTGAGTAAAACAAAGCAGCTGAATAGACGGTAGTTTTAGATACTAGTGCATCCCTTGCAGAACATAAAAATCAAGTGATATGATGGAGTGTGCTCAGAAGGGCTTACTTTAGGTTGGGTCTCCGAGGAAGGATTTCTTGAAGAGGTGACACTTGCTGAGATTTCTAAGGCCAAAGTAGGGACATCCATGTGACTTATCTAGGGGAAGAGAGTGTATGCAAAGGGCTTGTGGTAAGAAGAAGCTTGGGACATTCCCAAGTCAGAGAGGCCAGTGTGGCAAAAGGACAGTAAAAGGAGGTTGAGGATGCCAGGCATGGTGACACATGCCTGTATCCCAGGCTAAGGCAGGAGGATCACTGTGAGTTCAAGGCCAGCCTCAACTACATATGAGAGCCTGTGTCAAAAAGTGGGGGAAAAAAGGTTGAGGTGTGAGAGTGGATAGTAGGTGGGAACTTAAGTAGGGAAAGTGGGAAAGTGAGTGAAGCTTTTTCAACCACATAGTCCCATACGAGTTTAGATCTTAGCATCATAGGGAGCTATGAGAAGGCTCTCAACAAGCTAGGAAGGATGAGTTACAGTTTAAAGATGACTCCCTGACCTACTATATGAAAAGGGTTGAAGCGTGGATACAGGGAGCCCAGCGCAGAGGCTGCCGTGGAAGCCCTAAGAGAGGGAGTTGATAGCATGGAGGTGAGGGAGGGCCCAGAAGTTGCTGATGGATTGGATAGAAGGGTAATAGAGAGAATGGTGGGATGAGAAGAAAAGATGAGGCAGAGGCAGTGCTGGGAATATTCTTTTTTTTTCTCTCTGTCCCTCTCTCTCTTTTTTTTTCCCTGCAGGGGTGGGAATTGAAGTCAGGGTGTCATACATGATAAGCAGGCTGTCTACCACTGAATACTACCCAGAGCCTGATGCTTGCTTGGGTTTTTACTGGAGCTCCTGGCTAATGCTATTGTCTTTTATTGAGTCAAGAAAAGCTAGTGAAAGGAACATGTGGGGGGTTGTTGTTTGAAATCCAGAAACTTCACTTGTCATTTTTCCCAAAATAATCACTTCAAAGTATGTGATCTCTCTGAATTTTTTTTTTTTTTTTTTTTTGGTACCAGGAATCAAACTCCGGACCTTGCGCTTGCCAGGCAGGTGCTTGTGCCGCTGAGCTATATGCCTCGCCTCTCTGAATTCTTAGTAGTTTTAGTAGAATATCTACCTATATTTAGAATTTGCTATTTTTTTTTGAGATGTGGTCTCACTATGTAGACCAGGGTGGATTTCAACTCCCAGTGATGCCCTTGCCTTAGTCTCCCAGGTGCTGAGATGACAGGCATGCACCGCCGTAGCCTACATTTGGTTTCTTGTCATTCATGCACAGAGAAAGAAAATAATCAGTCATCCAAGATTCATATACTGTAATAGCACGAAGGGTGGAGCTTAATGTGGTAATTGCTTTTTCTACTTTGTATTTTTTATTTTGTATTGAAGAGTTGTTTTCTTTCTTCCTTAGTTTGATAGTAGGTAGAGAGAAGTAGCAGTTGATGGTTGTGCCCTGATTCCCATCATATTGGCTTGAAACTTAGCGACAATCCTAAGACTTTCTCCTATTTGTAAAAATAAAACTCCTTCAAAAATGAAGAGCACACATACTCACCGTACACTCATTCCGCAAGTCCACAGAATGCCTCTTGTGTGGTAGGTGTGATGGGGCACAGCAGAGCATGAGGAGAGCCATGCAGCTGAGGTTCAAGTAGGAGAATAACTACAGATAGATGGAGGACACTAACAATAGCGTAGTTACTATACCTCTTACAGATTTTAAGAGATAAACACCTTGGAGCAATTTGATATTTTATTAACATTTTCGTAACGTCATGCATGTATTATCCCACCCTTTTCTTCTCCCTACATCTAAGTAGAAGTGCTTCAAACTTTTAAAATTGTAGTCACCCGTTTATATGTGCTGTACATCTGTCTTGGTTACTTTTTTCTCGCTGCTGGGACAAAATACCTGACGACCAAAATTAGGGAAGGAAAGGTTTATTTCGCTTACAGTTTGTGGAGGTTTCAATCCGTACTAGGCATGATTATAAGGCAGAGTGGCACGTGGCAGAGAGCTGCATCTCAGGACGGCAGCCACAGCTCAGCAACCATCACCCACCAGGGCGGAATGGAAGAGGAATGGCTCAGGAGGAATGCCCTCAAGCACTTCTTCCTCTCCCTTACATATGCAGACTATCCACTCCAGGGTGGGTGCAGCTCTCAAACCCATAATAATTGAACTCTAACAGCCTGCCCCATGGTCGCATGAGGCTTTGGAGGGGACACCCAAACACAAACCATAACAGCATCAAAGTGATTGCTATCCCTCCTTCCTTCCCTCTCTCTCTTCTTCTCCCTCCCTCCCTCTCTTCCCCTTTCTTTCTCTTTCTTTCTTTCTTTCTCTTTTTTCCCTCTTTCTCTTTTTCTTTTTTGTTTTTTCTTTTTGAAGTGCTGGAGATTGAACCTAGAACCTTCATATTGAGCTACACCTCCAGCCCTTTCTGGTTGGTTTTGTTTTGTTTTTGGTTTTTGCTTTTAATTTTGAGGCAGGGTCTTATCACGACGTGAGGCTGGGCTCAGACCTGCACTCCTTCTGCCTCAGCTCCCGGGATACTCAGATTACAGATGTATACCACCATGCCTGGCTCTGTTGGTCATTTTTTGAGCTGTTCTTATAGCTCTTATAGTCTAAACAGTATAAACATATAACAGGCATTCAGTAGCATGTACTTGTCAAAGTGGTTACTACCAAACACCTAGGTAGTCTGTGGAGTTTAAAGCCATGTTCCAAATCCACTTCCAGGTAATTGACCGTGGGGGTATTAATGTTCTGCCTCCCTTACAGGTAAGGTAGGCTATAATGTGTGGACTTTCTGGACCCACTTGGGTGCCAACCTTTTATCGCTGGGTTTTGTTGTATGTGTGAAAATGACACACAAAGGACTTCCACTTGTAAGTAGTTTGTAAGAACTGAACACATACTTCTGTATTCGACCAGTGTGAAACCATATCTGAGCCACAGTGACCCAGTGCTTCCTTCTGTGCAACTACTAGCCAGTGGCCAAGGATGAGAATATCCCACAAGCCTTTGTGCAAAAGAGCACTGATTTTTTTTCCCCTGATAAGTTACTGAATTGCCATTGCCAAAGACCAAGCTTTTGCCTGCCTATATAGAACACTGGGTCACAATCTGTCAGCGCTCTAGAGGACCTTCCTTTACCCAGACCAACTCCCTCTAGCTGCAGTGAGGGAAGGGGACTTATTGAAGGTCCTGCACCTGTTTAGTGGTGGACAAATTAAAGCACAGATTCCCTACCTCCTTGATCAGGGCTTTTTTTCCCCTGAGCCACACGAGTGATAATTTCACAAAATTCTTCTTTTGATATTTTCCGTGTGACAGGTACGTTAGCTTTGCCAGCTGAAGAGTGCTGTCATTCATAGTCTTAACCTGATAATCATTAACAGAGTTCATCATATCTGCTTGTATTTCTTTCACATATTCCTGATTCATTGGTTTCAGCTGTCCTTATCTGTCAGAAAGTGAATTGATTGCAGGTCACTAAGAGCAATACCTTCCAAATTAAAAATCACTCTAACTGAACAGTACGTTCCAGCCGAAAGCAAGTAAATAGGCTGCTTCTTTCCTTCTTGACTTGAGTCGAGAAGTTCTGGTCGCCTGTCACAGAATTTAAGGAATTACAAAATATCAGGAATTAGAATATGAGATACTTTCATTCATTTTCTTACAGGTGATAGAAGCAAAACACAATATAAACAGTTTAAGCTGGGCTGATCATGGTGGTGCATGCACCTATAATCCCAGCACTGGGACGCTGAGGCAGGAGGATCTTTGCAAGTTCAAGACTAGCCTGGTAGGCATGATAGTGTTTGAATGTAATACCAGCACTTTGGGAGGCTGAGGCATGAGCAAGTTCTAGCCCAGCCAAGGCAACTTGACAACATAGTGAGACCCTGTCTCAAAATAAAAAAATAAAGGCTAGGGATGTATGTAACTCAGTATGAAGGCCAGGGTTCAATCCCCAGGACACCACCCCGCTACAGGAAAATTCACACAGCCATTCTTTTAATGCCTCGCCCTACCCGACATTCATGCACATATCTGTCACCTCTTAGACTCAGACTTGCTTTTTTTTTGTCTTTTTGAGACAGGGTCTCACTATGCAGTTCAGGCTGTTCCGAGCTCACTTTGTAGCCCAAGCTGGTCTCGAACTCACAACGATCCTCCTGCCTCAACCTCCCAAATGCTGGAATTATAGGCATACGCTACCACATCTGGCAAGACTCAGACTTTCAAGGACTTTAACAAGTCACCTCACCGTCCAAAATAACTATTCCACCAGCAGTGATGTCTTGTTTGCAATGACCTGCTAAGATTTTTGTTTGTGGTGCTGGAATTGTCAAATATGTGTCTTTAGTATAAAACCACATAAAGTTTTTGATTGTTTAGAAAGCTTTATGCCTCTGCCCACATGGTCCTTGTGGTAGCTAGAGATCCTTCCTCTAAAGCTGTTACTATTTTGCTGCTTTTGTCAAAAATGTGTTTCATTTATTTACTTACTGACTTGCTAATTTAGTTATTACAGTACTAGAGATCAAACCCAGGGCCCTGCACACGCTAGGCAGTCACCCTTCACCCCTAGCTACGCCCATAGTGTGATTTTGTTTTTCAGAAAGGGTTCATGTGCTAGGCTCAGTGGCCTGTCCCTATAATTCCAGCAATGCAGAGGATGGAGACAAGAGGATTGCAAGTTGAAGGCCAGCTGGGGCCATTCAGAAAAATCTAGCTTACAGATGAAATTTTTAAAAAATATATTTTTAAAGGGCTGGGGATGTAGTGTAATGGTAAAAAAAAAATCCTCAAAAAAGGATTCATATCATTCATAATTCTACCAAAATGGCAATTAATAATATCTTGTATTTTCAAAGGCTTTTTTAAAGTATATTTTCCTAACTGTGATTATAACTTTTACAGACAACTTTAAACAACATTTAGCCAGAGACTTTTTATGTTAGCTTTAACTTGTTCAGTTTTACTGCTGACATTCATCATAGAGAAAAACACTGCTAAAAAAGAATGAATCTGCTAGATATAAGAGGAACACATTGCCTTTTATAAATGTTAATGGTTATCATATCTGCAGGTAAAAGGCTTTGAGGTCAAAAAAATGTGTCTTTTTATGCGTGTCATATCCAGTACCTCTAAATGGTGCAGATGAACTATGGTAGAGAATTACAAAACCTACATCTGCTATTCTGAGAAAAAAAAAAAATTAAAGTTAGGATCAATTAACAAATGGCATATATGCTAGGATTAAGAGTCAGAAAACTTACTCTTAAAAAGCCTAAAGGATTTTAGGAAAAATGACAAGAGGGTGAGAACATGGGAAAAGCTCAGTTGCATTGCATAGGACCTGTGTGCCCTGGGGAGGAACCCGTATTAAAGATGTGGCTGGAAGGGAATGTAGAGCAGCTATTTCACTGGACTTTGTCTGCAAGAAAAGCAATTTTACTTGCCAGAAAGGAATGGAACAAAGATAAAGGACAAAGGAGTGGTCAGGGAGGAACCCATGAGCTAAGAATCAGATAAAAACAGCTCCAGGTTCTATTCTATTAGTCAGAAGGACCAGTAAGGAAAGGTAGCAAGATGGCTGTAAAATAGTGAAGCAAGCATTGTGGCTCAAAGAGCAGCTTGCTGGTTTACAGGAAAATGAATGTGGTGAGGAGACTTTCCTTGACCATGATTCATTGTGCCTCCACCTTATAAAGTTGTCACCTCCAAAATAGTGTTACATTCACAATACTCAACTGAAGCAACCGGTTACTGAATTCCTTTTCGTGTCTTGCTCAGCTTAATTTTATTCTCTGCAGCTGATAGTTTACTCTGCACAATATTAACAATGACAAAGCTGGGTGTGTTGGTGAATGCCGGTAATCTCAGCACTCCTGGGAGTCTGGGAGGCCAAGACAGAAAGATCCTAAATTAGAGCCCAGCCTGTGCAATCTAGTAGCTTAGCAAGACCCTGTCTCAAAATAAATTAAAAAAAGAATGGGGATGTTGCACGCAGTGTGAAGGACCTGGGTTCAATTTCTTGTACCTCAAACAACTATGACAACAAAATGATGATGATAATAAGTACTTCCTGTCTGCCAGGCATGTATTTTAATACTCTACTGTTACCCAGTAAGGTAGGAATTTTTATTCTCTCCATTTTGTAGGAGACAAAATAGAATCAGAATTATAATTTGAATCCTGGCTGTCTGGCTTCAGAGTGAGTCTAAGCACTATCTCCCCATGTCTTCCCCTTTCTTTTCAGATGGGTCTATCTAGGTTGCTCAGACTGGCCTCTAACTTGCCATCCTCCTGCTGAGCCTTCTAAGTAGATTTCAGAAGTGTGCCACTGTGCTGACTTCTTGCCCGAACTCTTGATCCTACCTTTACTTGGTCCTCTTTTAGCAAATAGCCTTGCCTACTACTTCATGGGAAAGCAGAGGCTTTGAGACCTTAGTGCCTTCACTTCCTATCTGAATCTTCTGCTCCCTTTCTTTCATCACAGCGGAAGCAGCAGTCTGCCCCTCTTGGGGCTCCTCCCTCCACCTGTGCTGCTGATCGCTTCACCTCCTGTCACTACACATCAAGACCTCTTCCCGCTGATTCCCAGCCCCACCCTTCACTTGTCCTCTTTGTTTCTTCCTGTGCACATTTTTGTGTTCAAATTTTACAAATGAGATAGACTCTCTTCTCTTTATTCTATGCCTCTTGTTTCTTTGAGCAGAATTTCAGTCATCTTTGTACCGCTAGAAAAATTGTCAAATAAGTATCTGCACTGGATGGACAGTATTAGAAGAAAGGAGCTGATGGCCCTCCTCAGTTCTGTGCTGGTCAGAACCCTGCTAGAGTACTGTATTTTATTCTGGGTGTGTAGTTGGAATGATATGGACAGTTAATTGCATATCCTAGGAGCTGTGATAAAGACTTTAAACCTCGCCATAGGGAAGGAGAGGCAGTTGAAAGAAATCAGATTGTTTAGACAAGACAATGGATGGGAAGACTTCAAGGACAAAATAACTGCTTCAGGTTTCTGAAAGATTGGCATGTGGAAGCAAGATTGACCATATTTTTTGTTTTTCTTTTTTTTTGTTGTTTTTCATTTTTCTTCCAGTACCAGGAATCGAACTCATGACCTTGCGCTTGCCAGGCAGGCGCTTTGCCGCTGAGCTAAATCCCCAGCCCCTGACCAAAGTTTTTGTATCTCCAAAGAACATTGCTAAGATTTGTAGCTGGAAGTTAGAAGGAAAAGGAATTTATTTGCAGTGCTGTATATCAAACCCAAGGATACACTAGGCTAGTGTTGTATTATAGAGTCCACCCACAGCCCATGGACTTTAATACCAGAGTTGTCCAGTAGACATTGGTCTGCCATAGGAGAGGTTGTGACCATCTTATCACTGGAAGTGTTGTCTGGGTGGTCACATGACAGATAATTCTAGAGGAGATTGAAACATAAAAAAGTGTTGTTGCTTACATAGCCTTTAAGGTCTGTCTTAATATTAAATTCTGGAAGAGCCCAATCCTTTAGCCCAGTGTGTTCTACCCAGGGTACATATTAAAAATCACCTTGGGAGTTTTAGGAACAAATGCCAATGCTCAGATCCCTCCCAGGTCACATAGTTTTTTAAAATCTTTTAAATTGGATTGTTTTAACCGAGAGTTAGGCATTGGTATTTTTAGGAGCTTCCAGCTGATTCTAAAATCTAGCTGATTCTAAACTGATCTGATTCAAATTGTATGTATTAATATTTTCTTTATACTAACTGTAAATAAAATACCTAAGTTGTATAGGTCAGTTTAATATAAATGTCACTACATATTTATACCTGATTCAAACTGTTCTGGGTTATGACATATTATTAAAATATAAGATTAAAACTGAATTTCCAACCACTCATAATATAAAATTTTTCCGCTTAAAATTTTTGTCTATGGTTGTTTACTTAAAATGTAGGTATGTGCATGTGTGCACACACATGCAGGAAGGGAAATTTCTTGTAGCAGTTGCTAAGTAAATCGGATGATTCTTGGTCTGCTCAGAATAATAAATTGGTTATTGTAAACTTAAAAAGTTGTTGAATTCCTTAAGGCAACCTAGAACCCTCTCCTTTGGATATTGACCTGGCTCCATGTCACTGTATGCTGGTAGTGAAGTGAAAGGAGTATGTAGAAGTAAAAAGAAGAACTTGACATCTTGTGTTCACGTCTCCCAGGACCACTCAAGGAAAATAAATACCACTGCAAATGTTCCAGTGTTTGTTTTGTTTTTAATTATTACGCTTGTTTGTGCCAGTAATAAAAGATGAGAGCTATTTTCCTGAACTACTATTGTAGTTAATTTCCTCCTCCCTTCTGTTTATCATTCTCTTTAAAGCTATTGGTGTCAGCAACCAGAGGGAAACCACTGTAGTCTGGGACAAGTTGACTGGAGAGCCTCTCTACAATGCTGTGGGTAAGCTGTCACGCATGGAAGTCCAGTACAGGGCCTCAGTCCCCGTGCAGGTGTGGTCACACGAAAATATCTGGCTAAAATAGCACGTGGTCCTGCCTAGAGGGATGGGTAGAGGAGTCATCTAAGCAATTAACTGTTGTATATTCACAATTTTTAAACCATATTTATTCATGTATTGAATGAATTCTCTCCTATTCTCTCTCCTTTTGCTGATTGTTTTACACAGGAGAGAATATTGACAACTGTTTCATAATCCCTGTGTTTCAGACATCTGGAAGAGATTTCACTTTCTTCTAGCCTCAAAAAATCAATTTTATAAAGAATAATAAGAGAATACCAATAGTTAATATACTGTGTACTGTTCACTTCAAAAGAATTGAAAAGCAAAACAAAAATCACAGTTACAAGTGTTCTGTCATCTGTCTATAAAGTATTGTGTATTTCCATCTAAAAATTTGGATGACTTTTCTGAGGTCATAAGAATGAAATACTGGAATTTTGGCTGCTTCTACTACAAATTTGGCTGTTTTGGCAGGAGTTAAAAAGCTCAATCTCATATATACGACTTTTTTTTTTTGGTTGTGGGAATTAAACCCAAGGCCTTCACACTGACCTATGTCTCCAGCCCTTTTCTTCTATTTTTATTTTGAGACAAGGTCTCGCTAATTTGCTAATGCCCGGGCTGTGCTCCAAGTTCCTATCCTCCTGCCTCAGCCTCCTAGAATACTGGAATTACAGGCTTGTGCTGCCGCCACACACAGCTCATGTACTCCTTTTAGGTATCATTTCTTGGTTTAAATGATCATGGGTATTTTTGAGCATAATTCTTAGCACATGACAATTGTTGAGCACTAAGTTATATTGTTACTTCCTAAAAGGAAAATTGTGTTGTAAACTTATAATTATTAAAAGACATTTGTCTTTTTTTTCCATACTGAGGATTGAACCCAGGGCCTTTGGTGCATGCTAGGCAAGTGCTTTACCACTGAGCTGTGTTACCAGCTCATTTTTAAATTTTATTTAAAGAAAAGATCTTGGGAAATTACCCAGGATAACCTCAGACTTGCAATCCTCTTGCGTCAGCTGCCCTAGTAGCCAGAGTTACTAGCTAGCACTAAGCAGAGTTACTGCCTGTGAAGCACAATTATCAATAAAATACAAGGTTGTGGGCTGAGGGAATAGGGCTAGAAGCTGTCAAGAGTTGAGATTACTTACAGAGTGAGCTTTTCGTTCCTTTCTGTTTTTCTTTTTAAGGGGGATCTTGCTAAGTTTCCCAGGCTGGTCTTGAACTCCTGGGCTCCAGTGACCCTTCCACCTATGACTCTGTAGTGCTAGGACTACAAAGGTGCACCACTGCCCAGCTAGAATGAACTGTTTTTACTTTACAGTTATTTTAGTAATATAAGTACTTTAATATTGATGAGAAGAAAGTAATATCAATGCAGAAACTATGTGGAAAAGGTATATTGTAAGAATAGCATGAATTCTTTGATGATCATCTTTATAAAATTAAGATATCTAAATATTACTGTATTATAAAAAACATGTAATATGTGTTCCATATTTGTTTGTTTTTTGTGGTACTAGGGATTTATTTATTTATTTATTTGGTCTTTTGAGACAGGGTCTAATTATGCAGTTCAGGCTGGCCTTGAGCTCACATGCTAGCCCAGGCTGGCCTCAAACTCCCAAAGATTTTCCTGCCTCAGCCTCCCGAGTGCTGGGATTACAGGCGTGCGCCACCACACCCAGCTGGGTACTGGGGATTGATCCCCAAGGGCTTTACACTGACCTACATCTCAAGCTCTTATTTTTTATTTTGAGACAAGTTCTTGCTACGTCACCAAGGCAGAACTCAAACCTGTGATCCCTTCTACCTCAGCCTCTCAGAGAGCTGGGATTACAGAGTGCACCACCATGCTTGGCTGTATTTGTGATAAAAGAAACAAATCATTTAGAAAATGTCAAAGAATTATAAACAAAGATCCTATTACACAAAAGTATATCTTTTAAAACTTTACTTTGTTTCTGAGTGTGGTGGTGCATGCCTATAATCCCAGCACTTGGGAGGCTGAGGCAGGAGGATCATTGGGAGTTCAAGACCAGCCTGGGCTACAAAGTGAGCTCAAGGCCAGCCTGAACTGCATAGCGAGACCCTGTCTCAAAAAGACAAAAAAATCCTTTATTTTGTTTTCATTCTCATGAGCAGTACATTTTATATTTTAAGTAAGGCAGATACTACAATTTTGATGACTAATATTTCGGGCGTGCTCGCTCTTTCTTTTTTTCTGTATTAGGGATTTGACATAGGGCTTTCATTCTGAACTACATTCCCTAGCTCTTTTTTAATTTATTATTTTAAGACAATATCTCACTAAGTTGTCCATGCTGGGCTTGTACTTGCCATCCTCCTGTCTCAGCCTCCTGAGTAGTTAGGATTATAGATATGAACCATCACTTCTTGATAGATTAATTTTAGCTAACTGTTTCAACTAGTTAGGGCATTTTTTTGTTGTTATAATTTAGGACCTTTAAAATGAGAAGCAACCCCTTCAATGATTAGGAGACAATAACATGGAAATAAAGATTTTGTTGCTTTCAGGTCTTTGGGGGTTACACAGCATGCTTGGATGTCACATACACAGAAACAAATAGTTTAGGCTAGTAGGGACCTGCAGGCAACCCCTTCATTGAGGTCAGAGTGTCATCCAAATGGATTTCCTGCAAGGAATTGTAAAGCAAGCATAAGTTTCACGATGTCACTTGTAACGGAAAGGTGGTCACTGACATCTGCATAGTCTATGCAGAGTGTGAGAGGCCAACCAAGTAGGTGGTATATAATAGTTGTCTTTTAGAGAAATACTCACCAGGAGGAAACTGTTGCAGGGAAATATATGGACTAATCCCCTTGAGGGACTGAGAGGAGGTATAGAAGTCAAAATTGTGTCAAGGGTGAGTGAGCTTTGCTTTTGTATGAAAATGAAGCTTGTATTGAAGTGGATACCGAGGCAACATAAAATTACAAGAATTCATGACAGAGTTTTGACTTTTTTTCCCCTAAGCAAAGGAAAGACCTATGCAAGGGAACCAGAAAGTTCCTGTTAAATTATAAACTTTGAATTATAAAAATGGAACTTGGACTCTGTGTGTGTGTGCATGCGCTCATGCATGCTTGCTCACGTGTGTGGTATTGGGAATTGAATCCAGGGTCGGCACACTGAACCACATCCCCAACCCTTTTTATTTATTTTTGTAGTGCCAGGAATTCAGCTCAGGATCTCACACTTGCCAGGCAGGTACTGTGCCACTGAGCTACATCCCTGGCCTGAGCCCTTTTTATTTTAATTTTTATTTTGGGACTGGATCTTGCTAAGTTGCGTGCAGGCTAGGCTTGAATTTGTGATCCTCTTGCCTGAACTTCACGGAGTGCTGGGATTATATAGGTGTGTGGCACCATTCCCAGCTGGCACTTGGGACTTTGAATTGTCATTTTAAAATAATGTAACTAGGTTGATTGTGTTATACTTAAAGAATTTTTTCTTTTTACTGTGCTGGTAATCAAACCCAGGGAAGGGGCTGGGGATTTAGCTCAGTGGCACAGCGCCTGCCTGGCAAGCGTAAGGTCATGAGTTTGATTCCCGGTACTGGAAAAAAACGAAAAACAAAAACAAAACAAATCAAACCCAGGGCTTCACATATACTAGGTAAGGAAAGCATTCTACCACTGAGCTACGTCCTTACCTCTATAGTGCAGAATTTAAGTAAATATCCCTAAATGGTTTTGTGATGTGCTTAATTCACTTCTCTTCCACTGGTATCCCTCTGTACCTCTCCCTTATTTTCTGTGTGTTTTGCAGTATCGATTCAAATGTACCCACCATATGTGAAGAACTTCTTTTCTATACTGAATTACATATATGATTTGAGAATCTCTTACGTATTTGATAGTGTCCTCAGCATTTTTTGTTGTTATTTTTTTCTGGTACCAGGAATCGAACTCATGACCTTGGGCTTGCCAGGCAGGTGCTGTGGCGCTGAGCTAAATCCCCAGCCCCTCCTCAGCATTCTAAAAGATGTAAATATACTGGGTTTTTTGTGAGCATTTTATAATCTAGTTTTGAAAGAATCTAACAGAAATTAGGACATAGTTGATAATAATGTACAGCTAAGCTGAATAGGAACTAGAACACATCTATGTCAAGATTTAAAATTTTTGGCATAAATTTCATTGTGTAGTTTAAATTTCATTTGGACCTTAAAGTATGTGTTGGATTATATTAGGCAAAGGAAGAATAGAGGGAGAGTGGGAACATACTGTGAAGGTGAAAATGTATATACATATTTCACAAAAGAGTGATGGGTCAGATTTGAGTGTAAGTTGACTTACTTATTTTTGGTATTAGGGATTGAACCCAGGGCCTCATGCATGCTAGCCAAGAACTTCAGAGTAGAGCTTCATCCCCAACACTTTTGAATTTTGAGATGAGGTCTCAGTAAGATTCTCAGGCTTGCCTTGAATTTATAATCTTCCTGCCTCAGCCTCTTTCATAGCTGGGGTTGCAGGAGTGTATTTCCACACCCAACTGCTGACTTACTATTTTTAGTTGAACTGGCAGTGACAATGCTTATTATGTACTAACTGCTGTGGGGTTATAGAAAATGTTTTACCCAAATTATGTAATCTCAAAAAACCCTGTGATGCAGGTTTTACTTGCCTTATTTTATATATTAATTATGGGAAAGCCCTATAACGTGTCCACTGTCATGTAGCTTTAGGATGAAATAAAGCCGCAGTTGGAACACAGGAACACACGGTGTCCAACCCGAAAGCATGTGTTCTAATTTGTATGTGTCAGGGTTGGTGAGGACACACTGAAAGCCATGCATAGTAACATAGACTTGGTAACACTGGGCAGCTTGGGATAAAAGAGTGTTTTAAAACATGGTATATTGAGAACAGCTAGAAAAATGTAACAATTCTGAGAGACTAGGAGGCTATC